TTACATTATGTCTCAACCCAACTGCTTGAGGTACTATGTACTGGAGGTATGTTGAATCTAATTTGCGTATGCCTGGATCATGTATTCATGTACTCGTGTAAATGCTTCCTCTTCCTGAAAATGACTCGCTTGAAAAGATAATGCACCAATCGTCGCGGTGATTAAACAGGGCCGGCAACCACCAGCAAGGCAAGGACAGTGACGCCGAGCGATGCCACATTCCATGTAAGAGCTCCAGCCGCGTTCTGGGATGTCGGAGTAGGAGAGGACGCAGATGCAGCATCAGCAGATGTCGGGCCTGCCGTGGTTGATCCTCCTACAGCCGATGATGCTGCAGTAGGCGTCGCGCTCGCCGGTGAGCTCGAGCTCGCTGGTCCTGACGAGATCGACGTCGTACTGGTCTTTGAGGACGATGAGGACGTCGTCGTGTCTGTCTTGCCAACCATCTCCTGCACCCATTTACCCGCGTCGCTGGAGTAGACATCAAAGTAATTGAGGTGGTTGGCCGCGGTGTCTCCGCCGGCGCAGATCGGATCGGATTCAACACAGTACGAGCGCATCACGCTGGAAAAGGCCCGCATGCCCGCAAGCTGGTTCTCCGGTCGTGGGAAGAGTCCGTTGTCCGGAGCTCCCGAGAGATAGTTGTACGGTTGGCTGGCCGTATGTCTTGTATCGCCAAAGATGAGCACAGCAGCGACTGCGAAAGGGTCCGGTATTAGCAACTCCCCGTCCTCACAAGTTGCGACACATGCAAACTTACGTTTGTTGCCGGGGGCCTTGGTGGCATCTAGCCCAGCATTCGCCTTCTGCTGACAACCCTGGAAGAACGTGCCACCTCCACCACCCAAAACGTCACCAACAACATGGCCGCCCTGGGAATATCCGCTCACAACGAGCTTCGCGTCCGGGCAGCGCTTGTTGTACGCCGTGATCTGCGCGGTGCCATTGGCGGCGCCTTCTTCGATGGACTGGCAGTAAGGCGCCTCGAGTGGGTTGTAGAACTGAATGTCCTCGTAGTCGCAGCTGTCGAGCCCGTCGCAGATGGCGGTGACGAGCTTGCCCTGGCGTCCGGGGTAGGGCTCGTTGTTCCCGCGCGCGAGGAATATGTGCACGCTCTGGCAATTTGCGTCGCCTGTGGCCTGGCGCGGGGTGACGATCGCGGTACCCGAGGTCAATGGCAGCGTAGCGGAGAGGAGGGCGAGAGCCGCCGAGAGGGATGAGACCATCGTGAGCTTGATGTATGGGCCTGCGGCGGGCCGTTTCGTTTTTGGTGAGAGAATAGCGAGGAGAAGCAAATGTCAATAGGCGAATTGAACGCACGCGACATCGGCTACCAAGCTGTTTTTAACAAGTCCGTCCGTCGCAATGGACTCCCACCCCTTGCGGTCAAGGCTGAAGATAGATGAGATGCCCCAGAGCCGGCGAGCCGGTGGGTGGCATTCCGGAGGCCGTCCGTTACGGGCAAATACGAGTCAACGATAAGCCCTGATCCACCGAGGTCCAGGGATCCCAACTGTCGCAGCCCCGGTCTATCTGCCACAGCAACGTCATGTTCTCCTCTGTGTTGGAACTTAGCGCTGGTAAACAAGGCCTTGCAGGTTCTGGCAGACGAGACGAGCAGCTGAGAAGTCCTCCTGATCGCCCGGCAAGTGGGTATTGTCGGGCTCCGGCCGCGACGAAGCGACAAAGACGAAAACAATCATGAAATCGAACCGTTGACCCTTTCAGAATCACAGAGAGTGGTTCATGGAATGACTCGCTGAAGTGGTTCTTTTTAGGTGATGGGCTTACAAGGAACAACCACGACCAAGAGCTGGCACTGGATGACCATTGACATTGGCTCAATGCGCTGTGTGTTGGAGGCTCTTGAGTTGACGGTGACCGAAATAGAGTGGCGGAAGTGTCGGATTGAGTGTGGCTGGTTTGTCTCGCGGTGAACATGGATCAACGAAGCTCGGAGCCCGCATTCAGGGCAACGGGAATCCCGACGCGGCACTTAAGCTCGTGGAACCGCCGCTATTCGGTGAGCAGAAGTTTCCTTTTTGTTCAACTTTGGGTCAATGTTGAGTCGCTCATGTTCATCTCAATCAATGCCACGTTGACATTTTGAGCTCAGATGGGTTGCAATCCAAGGCCCTGGGCAACTGAGTTGATTTGAAATTCAGCTGCGACTGCCACAATCGTCAAGCCTCGGGGCATTGTCTCGCAGTAAAGGGATGCCGAGTGGGATGACAATGCTGCAAACGAGGTTCTCCAGTTACGAAAGACGCCTCTTTTCGGAGACAGTCGACTTTGATCCTTGCAACAGACTTTGACTTTGAGGTTCTAAGTGCTGCTATGATAATTTATACCTCTATTCACTTCACGATGCACTCTTCGAGTCGCTCTGAGATCTTCAAGTCATATTCGCGCCAGCCCAATTGCTGTGCCCAACTGCCCATTACCCAGACGTGAAATCAAGCGTTGCATTGCCTTGCATTGCCGGGACGTTACACTGTCGATCCCGTTGCAAGGCAGAATGGCACAGACCGATAGCTTGGCAAAGGTAAGCTGAAATGGCATCATTGAGAACGATAATACGACTGCATCAATTCATATATCGTCCAACGTGTGCTTTGAATGAATCCCAATGCCCACGCTGCATTTACGAGATTCGCTGATTACATGGTCGCAAACAACATCTTGGCATTGAAGAGTTGTGGATGAATTCCTCGGGATGCGATAAAGATTGGGTTTAGAGTGCCCGGTTCCCCATTACGACCTTCCTCATCCTCCATCTCGACCGCTTCAGGGGTACCCGCAGAGGTGCGCCATCATGCCATTCAAGCAGCATCGCACAACACGAGAGCGAGACGGTGGCGGCGCCACGACGATGACTTAAGGTGCGGTTCGTCCCGCGACTTTAGTCTGAGTTGTGGTGTCTTGCTTCTCGGACTTTGTCGCCATCTTGATAAGACAGGAGGAACAACCCGCCAGCCGCCACGATGAAGTTCTTGGCTACGACAACCGTACTCACATCCTGGGCGACTCTTGGCGTCAGCGCCGCAGTCCAGGAGAGGCAGACTACAAAGCCCCTTGTCGACTCCGCGAGCTTTCAAGAGCAGATCACTAAGGAGAAGTATGCCTCTATGCTCAATGTTCCCCTCTTTCACACAAAACTCGTTCCTAACATGATCACAGCCTCCAAGCCAACCTGGTCCAACTGAGCGACATCGCAACAGCAAACGGCGGTAACCGCGCCTTCGGCCTCCCAGGCTACGCCGCATCCGTCGACTACATCTTCAACCGCATCTCCAGCGCCGCCGGCGCCAAGGTCTGGAAACAGGACTTCTCCGCCACCTACAACACCGAGCTCCGCGCCAACCTCACCATCAACGGCGAGAAGTCGACCATCTACGGCCTCTACGGGTCCCCCGACACACCCGCCGAAGGCATAACCGCGCAGCTCGTCGCGGGGCCGGAGGGCACCGCCGCCTGCGAGGCCGCTTCGTACGCCAACCTCGACGTCAGCGGCAAGATTGTGATTGTGACGGAGTCGGTGTGTCCTGGGTACCGGGATGGGTTCCACGCTGGCGTGATGAAACCTGCTGCTGCGGCGGGTGCGAGTGCCGTGATTGTTGTCAATGATATCGCGCTGAATCTGACGGCTGGGAACCTTGGTCCGGCTGATGATGGGACGTATGTCCCTACGGGCTTCGTCAACCAGCACATTGGCAATCCTCTCCAGGCTCGGTTGGCGGCTGGGGAGGTGCTGACGGCTTTCTTCTGGGAGGCTGAGGTTGTCGATAGCCGCGTCACGCAGAACGTGTTTGCTGAGACGGAGAGTGGCGATGAGAACAACGTGATTGTCGTAAGTCGTATCCGCTCTGGACAGTATCAGCCAGACTTCTGACGAGTTCCTAGCTCGGCGCCCATCTGGACAGCGTTGCATGGGGACCAGGTATCAACGATAACGGTAAGAGAAACCCCTCCCATTCACGAAGCCCGTCGAATAGTTCCCGAATACTCACACATGTCAGGCTCTGGAACCTCACTCCTCCTCGAGCTCTTCCTGGCCCTCACGAAGTACACCACCAACAACAAAATCCGCTTCGCGTGGTGGGGTGCCGAAGAAAAGGGCCTCGTCGGATCCCGCTACTACGTCAACAATCTCACCACGCAAGAGCGCGATAATATCCTGGCCTACCTCAACTTCGACATGGTCTCCAAGGGATACTACGGCGTCTTTGACGGTGACGGCGCGTCCTACGGCGTCCCTGCCCCGCCCGGCTCCGACGTCATCCAGGAGCTCTTCACCGCCGACTTTGTCGCCAAGGGCATCAATGTGACTGCCGCGAGGTTCACCAACGGCAGTGACTATGCTTCCTTCTGGCAGATTCTGGGCAAGCCAATCGGTGGCCTTCACACGGGAACCGGCTCTGCGCAGGATCCCTGCTATCACCAGCCATGTGACAACATCAACAACCCGGATCTGGACCAACTGACGGTCAATGCAAAGGCAAGTGATTCGAGTTTCTTTATGAGATTTGTTGTAAAACTTCGTTACTAACTCTCATGGACAGACCACTGCTCATGTGCTGTCCGCCTTGGCCCTCGACGGAACCAACCTGATCAAGAAGCTGGGCGCTCGCGTGCTTCCCGCCCGTGCTGCTGTGGCTGAAAGAGTCATCGCGACTGTGGAGGAGTCCGAGGACGAACATCACCATTGCTAATCTGGTACGGTAGAGATAGTAAGCCGCAGCAAATGCAACGCCTTTAATGAAGAATGTCGGTGATTTTCCACTTTGATGCCTGCTCCTCGATGTCTCCTTGTGGACGACGTTATCTCCCGTTCCGTCTCTTCCGTGGCGAGTCAATTTTCGGCCAACGAGCCCACGGTGATATGCGTAGTATGTCTTCTGGAGGCCACTAAAGGTGAAGATTTCGGAATTTGGTGAATCCACTCGAGCACCTCACAAGCGGGGGTATCGGCCATACGAAAGGGGCTGTGACACATAGGTTTACTGGGATGACCAGTAAAACAGCATCGTCCAGTGTGGCAGGGCTCGCAGAGAGACGACGTCCATTCGGATCCGGTCAGGTGCTCCGGTGACACGATCATAACGCTGGGCGTCACCGATTGCTTCGGGGACAAGATCGAGTCCTAGATCGATGCTGTCACTCCGAGCTCGCGCAGTTTTGACAAGGTCTGATACTGAAGAGACTTCAGAGGACGAGGACCTTCATGCCGATTTCCGGATTCGGTGAAGAGCGACATCATTGCTCGTCGTTGGGATGGTATACAGCAGCGAATAAGCCACAGATGGCGGGAGTCGACTTGAAACAAATCCATGCTCTGTCTTGATCTTGATAATTGATACCTCTGGGTATGGTGTTTCCGTTAGACATCGGGGCTGGACCACATCATAGCGTTGCGACTTAGAAAATACCCGTCAACTACCCAAGGCGGCTATGATTGTATATCATCTGAAGGGCCTAGTCAGCCAAGTGTTTGAATGCACTTCGCCGTGTCTGACGCAAGGTGTCTAAATCACCAGCCAGAAACCAGTTTCCAGAAGCCGTCTATAAGTCTCCAGGGGCCCGCGCCTTCTTCTTTATCCCCTCCCACTTCACCTCCCTTCCCTGGAACCACCGTCTCCTTCATCTCCGAGACCGCAAGCTTGAATCCAAAGCCGAGGTCACTCTGCATCATCCGGTGCTCTCTGACCATCTCCTCCCTCGTCCGTCTCTCACTCTCGTCCAGCTCCTTTCTCCGCACCCCAATCTCATCAAACTTGGCCTGATACTTGACCGCCAGCCCGTCCTTCTTTCGCTCCGAAACCGCCAGCACCATCTCCGTCTCCTCCCTCAAGAACCCCAGCTTAGCGAGACACTCGTCCTGCCGCAGCAGCTTCGCAAGGCTCTCCGCGTCAGCGAGGTATGCCTTCACATCCGCGACGCAAAGAACCTCGCGATGCACGGCCTTGTGCCGAATCTGCTTGATCGATTCGAAGAAGGCGTGCCAGTCTGTATGCGGCGGGGGCACCGTTTCAGCTTGGAATGTATCAAATACCTCGTTTTTGAAGATCCACATCCATTTCTGAAGTTCGACGCGCTCGGGCGACTCCCATTGTCCTGCTTCCAGGATCTTGGGGTGCGCCTGCTTCGCGTAGTCGAAGCAGGCCTTCTCTAGAAGGCTTTGGATCTTTGCGAAGAGAGCATGCTGGGCTTCGTATGATAGGAAGGCGGTGGAAAGCACGGGGAAATCTGCGGTCTCTATAGGTGGCTGTCGCGCTGTTGCTGTTGCCGTTGACTCGGGGATGACGGTGTCGCTGCTTGTCGTGATGCTTGCCGCGTCGCCCACGTCCGCTGTAGCCTGACTAGTGTAAGACCCCGGAACTGCCATACTTCCTTCAGCATCTCGTCCTGGACCTACAATAGCGGCTTGCAGCCGAGACGTCCTTTCCGCCTTTCTCTCAGAAATGAGCGCCCCAATCTTCTCCTTCCAATCTATCTCCTGTCTCGTAGCTTCCGGCGTCTCTGGCGCATTCGCTGGTGTAGCTACTACTTGTGCTGAAGCCGGGAGTTGTTGGAACAACTGAGGAAACCGCTGCTCGGCCTTCCATTTGGTTTCGAAGATCTTCTCCTCCAGGAGTTTCTGGCACGTACTGACGACGACTGGCCGAGTATATTTCAAGTCAAGGGCTTTGATCGCTGGGCCCAAGCAAGCGTGAATTCTGCGTTGGATGGGTTTTGGGTGACGGATCTCGGCGTGCTTTTTGGAGAAGACATGTTGCATGGCGAGGTAAATCTCCTCTTCCATCGTCGAAGCCATACTCGGGGGTTGGGACGTTTCCTGTCGTATCTCAGAAGGATGCTGGGGGTGCGAAGTCTGGTTTTGGAGCGCCAGAAGTTTGTTGATGAAGTGGATGTGGATGGTCTAGGAGAATGAAAGGGTCCCAGGGTCGCATCGTCTTTCAACAGGCATGTATCTGTCAATAGGTGCGTCGGAGAAAGGTGCTACACGGTTGATAGGTTTCGTAGGGTAGGCGGGAAACACTAGATCCAACGTCAGTCGCAAGTTTAAGAGAGAGAGCCACCTTGATGGAGAGCACCACGATGATCCACGGTAACCTCTCGATCCTACAGGCTCAGATACAAAGCGAAGTCCGACCCGTTCTCAGGAAATATGAATGAAGAACTCACGGGATTCGTATACATACTCTTCCACTTGGTTATTCCAACTGTGCCGAGACTAGGACTCCGGTCGAGCATGGTAGATCACCGTGGAAGGTCGAGAAGAAGGTTCAAAAGCATGTGCTCACTGCGGTGCCAAGTCCATGAGTTTGGAGAGACGGTTCCCAAAGATTATACAAAGACTCATTGTTCAGAGTAGCTGACTGAGTTCCCTTGCACAAGATGTTCATATGAACGAGGGAATGATGTCTCCGGTTTCCTTTGAGTCTGGCTTTTCCTTCTTGACGGGAGCTCGCCGTTGAGGCCTCGAGTTGGCTCTCCGGTTCTTGAATCTAGTAAATAGATCATCGTCGTCATCGTCTTCGTCTTCGTCTTCATCGTTCGTAGGTGGTGTGTTTGTAGCCACTCTTACGGATGACACCGGTTTCGGAGCCACTGTTCCCAAGGGCCCTCGGCCATTTGAGGACGCTCTCGCCTCGGGTAATCGCGCGCTGCTTGAATGCGTCGTTCGTTGCTGATTGCTTGGTCGGCTTTGGGCCTTTGCAATAGTTTCTGATGGATAAGCCAGTCTTTTGTGTTCGACGTCCCTCCTGACTGAAGCTTTGACAGGTCCTCCAAGGTCATCACTCTCATCTTCCGTCGTCGTCTCATCCACTGGCGTACTCCTCTTCGCCGGCGCCGCCGGCCTTTTACTCTGAGAAGACCTCACCACGCCCCCAAACAGCCCCGAAGCCGATGTCCTCACCCCTGAATCCGTCCTCGTCAGCGCCATCAGCGGCACCTCCTTCTTCTTGGGACTATGCATGAGCCCCTGCAGCGACGTACCCCGCCACGGCACGCTCGTCTCATCCCCAGTTTCCTCGTCGTCGCGGCCGGCGTCCCTCTTTGCGCGGCGCAGCGCCTCGCGCTGCTTCCTCTTACGGAGCAGCTCCTCCTGACGTTTGCGCGCGAGCTCGGTGAGGGAGCCGACGACGGGGCGGGAAATGGTCTTGATGGTTTCTGCGTTTTGGGTGCGTGTTTGGGCTTTGAGGCGCTGGTATTCTGCTGCGTGGAGGTGTGCTGTGAAGTGGCCTGCGATTGTGACGAGCTCGTCCTCGACCATGCGATACTTGTCGTCGTTTTCGAGACCGTCTGTCATGAACCTGTGCATTTTTGAGCGCTGCGTACGTCTCAGTGTGGATATTGGGATAAGTACGTTTCTGTGAGAGGTTCTGGCGGTGGTGAAGTCGAAGGGCTTCTGCCTATGAGAGTCCCAAGTCAACGAAAGAAATAATGTGACCAGGCGCGACTCATACCTTCAAGGAAACCATTTGAGCGGGCTGGTTTATGATTCGAGTGGTCCAGTGGCGGTGCAGCAGCTGTTGTTGCTCGAGACACAGCCCGATTCGGTGTCGCGGTTCTGCGAGGTGTCGTTGCAGTCTGTTTCTTCTGGGTTGCCGTCCGTTCCAGTGCATTACGGTCCCAGGGGAGTCGTCGCGTCATGGCTTAGATAGTGTGTGAAAGGTCCGAGGCGATGAGGCTGTAGACGAGAAACTCTCATTATCGTAAGGTTTCAAGCCGATGTTATTAAAGTTAGTTGAGATTGAATGAGATGTTCGTTCACGACTGCCTGTAATGAGCAGTCCAATAAGCTCGCTGTGGTTGATGAAGCTCGTCGCGCCTTCCAGGTGAGACTGGGCGGATGCACCGCAAATTATGCAAAGACTGCATAACTATCTCCTAATGCACGCCCCGCATTCTGCATAACTGTCAAAGCATCAATAGAAACTCATCATCATCAACCGAACGAAATGCATCGCAGAAAAGATATCTTGATAGAAAAGAAAAGTACCCGATCCGGGATATGAGTATTTTGAACGCTATGAGAATGCCCCATTTTATCTATGATCCGTAACCCAGCCTAAACAAAATACACGCATCACCAACTTATATCCTTCAACCCAGGTTGAATTCACTGGCCGCATTCATCACAGCCCTCATCTTCATCTTCATCTTCCTCTCCATCTCGCTTGGCTCGGCACCGGTATCGATATCCTCCATCGCGTTGCCACCCGAGGGCCTGCTGTCTCCTCTTCTCTTGCCGGCGTTCTTCTGCTTCATAACCGCCTTCTTGCTGTCGTGGCCGCCACGTCCGATGCCTGATGGCGCCTCACGCAGGCCGTACGCCTTTGCCAAGTGACCCAGGTGCAGCTCGTTGATGTCAAAGTAGACGCGCTCGTCCTTGATGTGGGTCGCGTACGCCCTGACGTGCGACCGGAAGGCCTTACGAGCCTCGTCCAGGAGTTTCGTTGCCGATTCGAGGAGAAGCCGCTGCTCAAGGTGAAGCTGCAAGTTCTCGGCGCGGTTGCTGAAGCCCCTGTCGGTCGCGGGCTGGGGCTTGGTATCCGTCTCAACGGGGAACTCCATGCCTGTCGTGAAGCCCTTGTGCAAGATAGTGTCGTAGAGTTCAGGCTTGGGAGGTGAAGCGTTCTTGGATTTGAGGAGGTCGATGTAGCCTTCTTCACAGCCAGGCATGAGGAAGAGGACCGCCTTACCGGGCTTACCGGCACGCGCTGTACGACCGATACGATGGACGTGGTCGTCTGCGCTGAAGGCGGGGTCGTATTCGACTACGAGCTCGACGGAGGGCACATCGAGGCCACGGGAGGCAATATCGGTAGTGAGTAGGACTGTCGGGTCTGTGCATTTGCTGTAAGAGGCCAGCGTAGCCGTACGGACTGGTTGAGGGAGGGAGCCGTGCAGTTTGTGGAGGACAATATTTGTGTTCGCCGCCGATGTGATGTACGCCGAAGACGCGACGGTATTTGCGGTTGCAGACGTTGCGTTATCAGTTGAGCTCTCTTCCTTCTTCGGCGGTTGACGGAGGAGATCGAAGTGATAGTCGACTGAGTCGGCGCAGGAAAAGAAGACGATGGCTTTCATCACCGACCCCTTCCTTGAAAATGTGGACTTCAGAAGTGCTATGAGCGTCACCAGCCGCAACTTGGCTGGCACAATCAAGTAGTTCTGCTTCAGTTGCGCCGGAGCCTCGAACTTGATCTCTTCTCCCTCGACATGCTCTTCTCCTGATGTGGTAATGTGAACCGCATCCTCCAGACTGATCTCGCCAAGCTTCTGAACGTTCATCTTCATAGTGGCCGAGCAAAGAACGGTCACGCGACGCTGTGGAAGGTTGGCGAGCGACACGCCGTTAGCTGTCTTGTCTGCCAAGGGATTTTCACGGATCCTGCCGACAATGGTGCGCAGTTCCGCCTCAAAACCCATCTCCATCAATCGATCGCCTTCATCGAGAACCAGCCACCTCACGGTGCCGACGTCGAGAGTCTTGGTGTGCTCGAGGTGATCGCTCAAACGACCGGGGGTTGCGATGAGGATGTTGACACCTTTCCGCAGGCGGCTCTTCTCAGAGTGTTTGCTCTCACCACCAATGACCGTTGTGCTGACCAGGTACGGCGGGAGCACCTTTGCGAGCACGAGCTCGATCTGCCTGCAAAGTTCACGGGTAGGCGCCATGACAATGGCGAACAAGCCCGAGTCTCTCTTGATCTGGCCCTCAACCGACAGAATCCGCTGGATGATGGGCAGCAGATACGCCAAGGTCTTTCCGGAACCTGTTTGCGCCTGCACAAAGGCATCGCTGTCTTCCTTGATGAGCTGAGGAAGGACCTTGGCTTGAATAGCTGTCGGTGCCTTGAGCTGGATCTTGCCGGAGAGCGTCAACGCCAGTCGTCTTGAGATACCGAGGGCGTGGAAGCTGGCAGCTTCATCGGAAAGCGGCGCGTTTGAAGGCTCAGCGACCTTCTCCTCAACCTTCTCAGCACCGGGTTCATCGAAGACAGTCTTTGGCGTGGGGTTGTAAGAGAAAAGCTTCGATGAGATTTGGCCGTCTCTCAGCTTGTTCGCGATGCTGCCGGGGGGCATTTTTCCAGTCCGGTAAGCCGTCGCATGAGGATGCTCTGGCCGCGCTCGCTTTGCCGGGCGCTCAAAAGAGTCGTCGTCGTCGCCAGGGCGGTCTGACCTCTGGGGTTTCTTGGATCCAGGCGTGTATCTTTGCGGTAGCGGGGCATCGTCTTTTGCTGTTGATGAAGCCTCTTTTTCAGTGCCTTTATTCGCAATCCGGTTGGCCTTATTCCTGTCGCGCCAGCGACCACCCTGAATCTTGACATGGGGCTTGACAGGGCCGCTGCCCATGTCAAAATTGAGAATCATGCCATCGTCCGCCATTTTGTCGATGAGATTTCGCCGTTGGTCGCAAAACTGAGGCGCTGGGTTGCCGAGACTTGGTGGAAATTTTCAGGCAAGCAAAGTCTTATCGCTTTCGGTGTTTAGATAAGCCCCACACTCCATCCTGCAAGGGTGCACGGTCCACCGCTAAGGAGGCTCCGACTACCTTACGCTATGTAATATGCTGCGCAGCAGGGACTTCGCCAGAGTACCTTGCCAGCTTGCGTAGTGAACTTGGAGTTTTGAGGAGGGACATGGAAGTTGACGCCCTCGGCATACATTTATCAGCCTTCGCCAGCTACTATATCGGGTCCCTCAAGCTTCTGCGAACCCAAAATTTTCTGTACTGCCACCAATGGTTTTGGCGAACGAAGCGATGCTCATACAAGACCTCTTCGCCGAACCAAGCCACTGTTCCACCACAGAATCTCAATTTGGAGGTCCTCCAAGCCTCACCCGTCTTCTGCCCGTGTATATTCCTACCTGTATTTCTTGCCGTTGAGGTTGACCAGCTATAAACGGAAATGCTATTCTGAAATGAAAGATGCGAAGCTTCGGCTTGCACCTAACGCCAGGAAACGGAGGCATACGCTTGATACAGCGAGACACCAACTGGCCATCGAGAGGATGGACCACCGAAGTCATTGCTACTCGTGTGGGAAATTTGACGGAGTTGTATCCCGCTGGTGGCCAATATACATGCATTGGATTGAGTGCCTATGGCACAACAGCACTTCAGATTTAGCCGTCGCGGACCTAAGAGTGAATGGAAACAATTGCCACCTCCCTCCATGAAGTCTACTAGGTATTGTCTATAGCCAGGGCAAGAGCTAAGCAACTCCTTCTTCCAGGATTCCAGGCACGCAACACAGGCCATTCTTCTTTCCCCTCGTCAACGACCTTCTCGATTTCTGGAAGTCAATGGACGCATGTCCCTCGGCTGACTTCGCGGCTGATTCAGGAGATGATGCATCTCGATTTGCCGCAGTCCCGAAAGTCCGAGGGTAAGATGCCCACCTGACATCAAGGGGTCTCTTACCTCTCTCAGCCTCGTTCTATGGATCATCTTCCAAAATGAAGCGCACCCTCAAGTACGGAGGTAAACCTCTCAAAATATGGGAGACGTAGCGGCACAACTTCAACAAGGCACGCGAGGTATCGTCATCTGATGCAACGCTTCTGCAATGATCAGCAAACTTCCTAGGAGCCCTGGCATACCCAAAGGAAGTCAATTGTGAGACCTGGCTTTGCATAGGAGGTGAGTGTCCAATAGCACATCTGGATCTCGACTCTCATGCCGGAGGCCGTCTACGCCAGCATGCACAATTGAAACCAAAAAAAAAAAAAAAAAAATGTGCAGCCCAACAGATTCGAGGACAGCATTTCGCGTTCTCAGCGGTTACCACCCAGTAACACCCCCTCCCCCAGATGTTGTAATTCCGCTAATGTTCCTCAGGCAAAAGTGCACTTCTCTGACCAATTGACGGATCTTGTCTATGCGTCCATCTGCTGCTGGTCTCGTGGAGAAAGGCTCTTGCCGGAATCTTCACACCGCTTACTCCGAGCCTCATCTTGGCGGATGGTGTATCGTCGACAACGACGAGCCTGATTCTTGCCTTCCTCGTTTTCTCCATACGTTTCGCAATGTTATTATATGATGTCGATGACGAGACGCTCCGGCTGGTCCTCCAAATGCACTTGGAGGACCTCGAGAGCATCAGGCAGAGCAACAAGGGCAAATGCCGCGCGGACGAGGCCACCGATCTTGATATAGCCATCGAAACCTACAAGTCGGAGATCGAGGCTCATGCCCTACTCGCGGCGGACAGGCGCATGTGCAAGAGTATTGCCAAAGCAAACCAAACCGACGCCCGCCTCATCAACAACCTTGCCAGACAGGAAGACCAAGCTGCTCGAGATAGGGCAGCGGCCGTTCGGCTCAGCAACGGGGGGGAACTCGATGAAGATGTGCCTGCAGCTCCTGTCCGGCCGAACAATGCCAAGAGCAAGGAAGATGAGATGTTGCGAAAACTCAAGGCACTCTTCGTCTCTGCCAACGGCGAAGAGGAGGCCCACGATGATGAAGAGGACACCTTAAGCCCCCCAGAATCATCATCATGGGCAGCCTCCAGACTCCAAACCAACCTAACAGCAGCCAATCCCACCAAGTTAACATGCGATAGCTGCACAAACACCTGCCCCTCCACCACAGTCGCCCACCTCCCATGCAACCACAACTACTGCCGCGACTGCCTCCGAACCCTCTTCCAACTCTCCCTCACAGACGAGTCTCTCTTCCCGCCGCGGTGCTGCAGACAACCCATCCCCATCGACGACAACAACATCAGGGCCTTCCTCCCCTCCCAACTGATCGGCAGCTTCCGCGCAAAGGAGCTCGAGCTCTTGACGCCCGATCGGACGTACTGCCACCGGCCGACCTGCTCCCGCTTCATACCAAAGGAGTTTACGCGGGGGGATATCGGCACGTGTCCGGCGTGCCAGCATGAGACCTGCCTGATGTGCAAGGGCGCCGGGCACGGCGAGCAGAATTGCACGCAGGACACGCAGACGCAGGCGCTTCTCGAGGTCGCTGCCGCCAACGGGTGGCAGCGCTGCTTTGGGTGTCGACGGGTCGTGGAGCTCGATCATGGATGTAATCACATGAGTGAGTGAATCTTTTCTCCTGTTTCCCCCCTCCCTCTCCCCCGCCCCCTATCTCCCTATCTCAGGGATGTGGACGTTGAACACGAGCTGATAATCATTGCCCTCAAAAAGCTTGTCCTTGCGGAGCACAATTCTGCTACCTCTGTGGAGAAAGGTGGAAGACGTGTACCTGTGCGCAATGGAACGAGGAGCGGCTCGTCGCCCGCGCCAACGAAATCGTGGACCGGCGGGCTGACGCCCTGCATCTGGATGCTGCGGCGAGAGCGCAACGGGTCGAAAGGGAGGCGCATAATCTCGTGGAGAATCATCAGTGTGTTCATCCCACCTGGAGGAGCCGCCGCGGAGGGTTCCGGTGCGAGGAGTGTCACGACTTCCTGAGAGAATTCATCTATGAGTGCGCTCAGTGTCGCATCCATGCATGCCGCAGATGTAGACACAATCGACTTTAGAGAGTAGGAGTTGTGTGAGAAGAAGAAGAATCCAGATGACTGTGCGTGTACAGTGTGACAAATATTTTCGGAGCTGCTCATGAGCCAACAAGTCATGAAAATCTTTACATTTGGCCCATTTCGAACACGAACAACGATGAAACCCATCAAACACGATGGCAAATGGACAATCTTGCAAAAGAAAACTCATTCCAAACTCGTACGGAAATAATTGATGCCAGATGCAAAAGATATTGCGGCCAGTGTGGATTGAACACACGACCTTCAGATTAAGTGATTGAAGTTGACTTCAGTCTGACGCTCTCCCAACTGAGCTATGTCCGCCGCTTTTGATTGGTGATTGCAAGAAGTGTTGTGTGTTGAGTAGCGTTTCGCGTGAGCCCAGGCCCATGGCGACAGTTCCGGAGAGAGGGCCCTTGTCTTCCGCGCCGACCTCACACATCCAGGTATCGTGAGAGGTGAGCTTCCAAGTCTGATCCTAAAGAAGCCCAAATCTGTCGTGTCACTTTGAGGCAGAGAGGTTCCAATGCATGTAGCCTTTCTATGGCGTAATCTCTGAAGCCCAAATCTGTCGTGTCACTTTGAGGCAGAGAGGTTCCAATGCATGTAGCCTTTCTATGGCGTAATCTCTGAAGCCCATCGTTGCTTGCAAGTAAGTGTTGACTGGCGTCACCGAATCGTGACTGAAGGTTTGAATGTACTGAACACCTCCTCTCGAACATTCGTATACGCTAGCTGATATCATTCTCTTTTCTATATTCTCATGCGCCAAATTGCTCGCTTTTTCGTTTTCTCATTTGTCAGTCGATAAGCATCAACCGCAACTCTCAAGCCAACCACCCAGCATACGTACTCAACTCCTCCCGCCTCGCACCCTCCATCTCCCCCTTAACACCCAACAACCGCACCCTCGCCCCCTTCTCCCTCTCCCACCCCTCCAAGAACGCCTCAACTCTCTTCTGCGTAGCCTCGTCATCCCTCATGATCAAAGCCACCGCATCAAACCCGCCCGCGCCAGGCACGACGCCGCCCAACACGCCCTCGACACCACTGAGCGCATCAAGCAGCTCCGTCTGCGACTCAGGCTCAATGGGAACACCGCTCCCCTTCCCCATAGCCCGAATCAGACTTCTCACATCCGCAACCGCGCCGCCGACTTTCTCGGTCTCCCCGTTCTTCAGCGCCGAAGCAAGAGCCTCGTTCTTGCCCTGCAACTCATCCCACAGCGCCTTGCTCCCCTCCGCATCGGCCTTCCTCCACTCGAGCACCTTCTTCACCATACTCACCGTCTGACTACCGCAATCGACATCACACATGCGAAGACACACGCCCGCAGGCAACCCCGTCCCAGCCTTGTCGACCTCGACGTCCCACGCGAGCAACTCATCCACCTTCCTCACCAGCGCCTCCGAAAACCCGGGGCTGCCCGCCGCCCCGAGATCAGAGAGCAGAGAGGGCGAGAAGCGGCGGTACCGACAGCTTCCAAACACCGCAGCCGCGACATCGAACCCGGACCCGACCTTTCCTTGGGCAGCGCAGTGCGCCGCCTGCGCGAGGTTGTGGAGCGTGTGCTTCCCCGCCTCGGAGTTGATATCAAAGAGCGACGTGGGAAGGTGATGCGTCAGGAGCGCGGCCGTCAGGGAGGTGACGAGCGCGGCGGAGGAGCCGAGGCCTGTCTTGTGCGCTTCGCCGATGGTGTGGGGGTACCGCGCGAAGCGGGTTCCCTTCTTCGCTGCCGGGATGGCGGTGCCGGAGACGGCGGAGTCCGGGTCGTTGGATGAGGAGGGCAGGGAGTAGTAGTCGTTGTCGGCGAGGATGATCAGGCGGGTTGAGGTGAGGGCGTGGCTTGGGCGCTGCTTGTTGATGCGGGCGATGTAGGTGAGGGCGTAGCTTAGGGTCGTCTCGACGAATGTGTTTGGGCTGATTTTGGAGCCGCTGGGAGGAGGTTAGTGATGAGGTGAGGTGAGTGAGAGTGAGAGTGAGTGAGGCAATATGAGATCTGGGGTGGGTATGCTTGCGAAATGTGATGATGATGTTGATCATCAGCGGAAACATTGTCAGGCACATATGAGAGGGCATGGCATAGCAAAAGCATAGCAAGAGCACAGCGAAATCTCAACACGACCCAACACTCATCCGCCGCGTGAATATCTCAAAAGCCCGCCCCTCATCAACCACATCCCACCAAAGCCCCGCACTGAAACTCTTGAAGAACTTTTGAGACATAGAGTTCCCCTCAACACACCCCGCCCCAAGCTCATGACGAACAGACTACACAAAAACCACCAAAAAAAAAAAAAAAAAACACCGAAAGATCCGAGGGAACCGAGGGGAAGCAAAAGCAACTTACACCTGCAGCTGCGTAACCGTAATCCCGCCATCCTCAGGCGCGAGATGGAACCCGTACCGCCAGACGGCGTCGACAAACTGCGGGCTCTCGACGACGATCTCGGTCAGGTGCACGCCCGGAATGGTGTGGATCTCGGCGGCCACGACATTGATACGCGCGCTGAGCCCAAAGACGAGGCCCGTGTAGGCCCGGTCCAGCACCAGGTAGCCGCCCGCCAGGAGGACCTTGCCGGGCGCCGAGACGGCCGTCGTCGTGGAAGCCGTCATTCTTCTTTTCTTCGGGAAACGTGGTCTTGGGTTAGGTATCTAGTGGTGTGTATGTCTTTTCGGGGTTGGGTCCGGTTTGTGTGAGGGGTATGTGAGATCTGTACCTCAGATTGCAGGTCGATAACAGATATCTACGGCCTTTGAATCTCGCCAATTGAAATACAGCCGTTACGCAGCTTGCGATGGCTGGAATTTCAGCGCGCTTGAATATGCGGTACAGCTGTAGGATGAGGCCCAGTGAGGGGTGGGTTGTGTGATGACGCAGGCGTGATGGAGGTGAGGGCAGCTAAGTAGTTGAAAGTTTACGATGCGAAATCGCATCGTGGGAGGAACGAGCGCACAGTGCTAGGGGCACGTGCGAGGGAGCTGATTCATCGATAATGCACTGTGTAAATCTCTGGTCCAATTCAATCAGGAGCCTTGAACCATCGCCAAAGCTGGTACACTCTGAACGACAACCAGAATCCCGGTTCCAGCGGTCAGACACTTAGATTGAACTCAAGTCTGCATACTGATCAGATTATAGAGGACAAGTTAAATGTGCTTCAGCACATCTTCATTATCCAAACCTATTGAACATTACACACCGACAGCAAAGCATCGCCATCATCTTCACACTGCGGGCCAATTGTTTGAACAGTCGACAAATCTTATTTTGTTGGATGCTGCCGGTAATATACATACAGCAGGATCACATGCCCTCATGACATGTCGTCGTAAACCGACCCCCAGTACCCTTTCCGTCCATTCATGATCCTCTATGCTGCGTTGCGCTTCTATCCGGCGCCCTCTTTTTTATACTATGCTTGAGTGGGGTTGTGTCTATAATTTGGGCCGTTGGCCGTCATCGCTCGCTTTCCGATAAAAAGCCCCTGAACGGGTGCTCAGTCGCCGTGACCCTTTTGCTTCCGACAAACGCCGTACCGACCCAGTATCCCGATTATGGGGGTATGAATTCGACTTCCGGTTCAAACTCCAAATTCCAAAGCCATGTGACGATATGAAATGCTTTCGGCGCACTGCCGCAAACCAGACTGGCCGCCGATCCTGGCCAGGCACCCTCAGTCCACCTACTTTCAAAACACAACGGGGTATCAAGCAACGCGGTAGATGAGGGCAGTTACAAAGGAAATGTGTTCATCGAGGGAAAACGCAGAGCAGCTGCCCAATGCGTGATTCGATGATTTGACGAACAACGTAGACAAGACAGGTGTTGGAGTGAGCTTAGTTGTGTGCAACAGCTTCCTCACCACCGCCACCGCCAAGAAGCTCCAGCACCTTGTTGACAACAGCACTGGGGTAGCCACGGCAGAGCATCTCTCCAACTACGCCCTTGGCCTTCTCGCGCTCCTCGACGGCGAGGTAAGCACGAGTCATAGCCTCGTATGTGCTGGGCTCACGCTTCTCATGGCCGACAGAGTCGTAGATGGCTTGAGCTTTCTCGATCTGCTTCTCAGCGGCCCAGCCGTGGATCAGCGTGTTGGCGATGTAAGGAGTCATCTCAACACCTCGTCGGCGCATCTGACCAAGGATGGCCTCAGTGTCGACAACCTTGTGGTTTGCAACCATGGCCTCAAACAATGCTTGGAAGAGGCTAGCGTTGGCGGTGACAGCCCGGTCGGCCATGACAGAGTCGAAGACCTTGCGGGCGCCCTCCATGTCGTGGAGGTTGCAGCCACGGGCATGGATGAGCGCAGCGAAGTGGACGGCCTCGGGCTTCTGACCGGACGTGCGGATGGCCTCGAGGACCTTCTCGGCAGCAGCCATGTCAACAGGCTCGAGGGTGGCGTGGGTGTCGACAAGAAGCTTATAGGTGTGAGCAGTGGGGGCGATTCCCTTGGCCATCATGCGATCGTAGTAGGCAAGAACCTTCGCCTTGTCGCGCTTGGTAGTCAGGAAGAACTGCATCATGCTGTTGTAGGGAGCAGGGCGAGCCTTGTAGTT